CCTTACGTACAGCGATTGTTCCAGATTCTTTGAATCTTTTGATGATGTTATGCACGGTTGATGATGATAACTTAAAAGTCTTTGCTGTTTTACGCTGGGTAACACCATTCTGGTATTGCTGCACTATCTTTCTGCGCAACAAGGGTGGAATTGGTGATCCTCTTACCATCTTGGCTTCTGAGAGACACTGACACTCTGAGAAGCTCTTTTTATACCATATCATGTTGTCAATTGACCTAATTAGTGTTAATTGGTATTCCAGCTGTTCGTTATATGCTCAATTTCCTTTTTCCAGCCACTTATTGCTACTTGTCCCAACTTTTTTGGGATTTGTTGACACTGTGAAATTTTGAATCAACATATTTTTCCTTTAAAATGTTACATTTACTCAGATTAAACTTTTGATCTGTCATCTAAGTTATATTATGAATAAAATATTGACATTTGCCATCTCCACATCATTGCATTCAGTTTTTATTCACAATTTGTTTAGTGTCCCAACTTTTTTGGAATCCGGTTTGTATCTTATTTCAAGATACTCAAAGCACTTTACACTACAATCTGTGTCCTCATTTACCCATTCATACAGCACTCTACTAGATCTCTACAAAGCTAATTGAACAAATTATTCTAAAGAGACTAATCGGAGCTTTTATCACATTCATACACCGATGGGACACATCAGAGGCAACTAGGGGTTAAGCATCTTGCCCAGGGACACTTGGGCATGTGACTGCTTTTGGATTCGAACCCGCAACTCTTGCATTGGAGGACTACTGCTCAAACCACTCAGCCACAGCTGCCCCTACTTCACATATGGGGACCAATATTATAGGCAGAAACATGGGTGTGCTATTGGGTCTCCAGTTTCTCCTATTGTTGCCAACCTGTACATGGAGGAAGTAGAAAAGAGAGCCATGACATCCTTTTCAGGGACACCACCAAGTCATTGGTTGAGGTATGTTGATGACACCTGGGTTAAAATTAAATCTCAGGAAGTCCAACATTTCACTGATCACATCAACTCTGTGGATAAATATATCAAGTTCACATGAGAAGATGTAAAAAAAAATGGCAGGCTGGCTTTCTCGGACTGTGAGGTCTCAGATTCTGATAGAGGACATTTGCAAACACAGGTGTACCGCAAACCCACCCACACAGACCAGTATTTGCAGTTTGACTCCCATCACCCTTTGGAGTACAAGTTAGGAGTCATCAGGACTCTGTATCACAGAGCAGACAGCGTCCCCACTAGCTCAGGAGCCAGGCAGAAGGAGAAATCCCACACAAGACAGGCTCTAGAGCAATGCGGATATCCTAACTGGGCCTTCCTAAAAGAAGAGAAGAAACTCAAATAGGACTCCAGCCAGCCATCAGGTGAAAAGGAGGAACCCAGACGCAGACCAGTGGTCATTCCATATGTTGCGGGAGTATCAGAGAAACTGAGACGTTTGTTTTCTAAACATAACGTCCCAGTGGCTTTTAAACCCCAAAATACATTACGACAAAGACTGGTTCATCCCAAAGATCCAGTCCCCCGGCACAAACAGAGTAATATTGTGTATGCTGTTCAGTGTCAGGAGGGCTTTGATCAGTCTTACATCGGGGAAATTAAACAGCCACTGGCCAAAAGGATGGCCCAGCACAGAAGATCAACATCATCAGGCCAGGATTCTGCGGTCTACACTCATCTCCAGGCCAGTGGTCTCTCTTTCAGGAATGAAGATGTTCACATCCTTGATAAGAGAGGAATGATAGTTTGAGAAAGGAGTAAAGGAGGCCATCTTTGTTAAAAAAAAACCATCCATCAATAAAGAGGGGTGGAGGCCTCTGTTTTCAACTGTCCCCCTCTTACATTGCTGTTATTGCTAGTATCACTCAGCCCTCTGTAAATAGTAAACAGCCATCAGTGTGCTAATGATCCATCGTTAGGCTGATGGCCCTCGATTATGTGAGCAGCTGGTTTGGCTGTCAGCAGCAAACTGGTTGATCCACTGCAAGAGGGTGCTATTTATAAGACTGAGCTGAATACAACACCTCACACTGTGGAAGTCTTTCGGATGAAAGATGAAACTTTTGTACAAATTATTATTTTTTTTTTTTTAATGTCCAGAGGACCAGATTTAACTTTTTTTTAGGTCAGATCACATGTTCTCCAGGCAAATTCAGATAAGATGGCCTTCAAGGCCAGCCGGGGGAGTCAAATTCAAACACAGTTGTTTAGGGACAGGCAGAACTTAATGACGTCTACCTTGAGTCTCTGTTGATCCACTCGGGTTCCGAAATGTCCAAATTATGTGGCCACACCAAAAGAACGTGCCTGAGTAAAATCTCCGAGATCTGATCCATTCTGCCAAAAGCATTTGAGTCTGGGTACTCGAGGCACAAACCAAGCCATCATAAGTCAAGCAGCATGATTGGGTCCAAATTTGCTGCCGACGACTTCCTTGATTGTAGATAAAACCAGCAACCAGCCGAATCCAAAAAGTAAGAACCAGTTATCATAAATCCAATTATAAATGCATCCTTAAAATCCACAAATGACAGCAGAGATAGACACTTCATCAAGTCTTCCAAGTCTATGAGATATCCAGCTGTGAGCATGCCAACAGGACAAATCGGCTCGCCTAAAGCCTGTCTTCTCTTAGAAGAAATGTTATCAATTGTGTTGAGGGACCAACTGATCAAATCAAGTCCGTAATTATGGTTTAGAAGATGCAAGAGGCTCAGAAGCAGTTTCACAGACAGACAGAGCAGCAAAGCAAAGCAAAGAGGGACAGGAGGGGAAAAACGTGTCAGACCTAGGCAAGAAGCAAGTGGTGAAGTGAATACTGAATGTTAAATGTAAACAGCAGCAAAATGTGACAAATGGATATCTAAATGGGCAGAAAACTTTGGTAAAATTTCTAGAAACTTTCCAAAAATGTTCAATGGCAAGTTAAGCTGAAAATTTTTGGCACTAATACAAACTGGAAATTGTTCAAGAGAATGACGATATGCGAAATGACTGAAAATTGGGAATATTTTAAACAAACTATATCATATCCAAACAAAAATATAAACAGTTTTAACAGAGACAGATAATGTAATTAGCAAATATATATTTGACCCAATTTCACGCCACAGTGCAACATCCACATACACATGTATTTATACCCGTAATTTCTGGACTATTGAGTGCACTCGAATAAAAGCTGCACCCATTAAATTTAAAAATAACTTTGTACATTCATAGGCCGCACTTGGCTATAAGCCACAGGTGTCCACGTTGTAACATGCTATACTTACACAAAGATTTAAAAAAAAACTTTTAATTAAACACGTGTCCGGAAACATTCACAAATATGTACAGTAAATGTTGTTTTTCTGAACAGTGCTGTAACACAGCTGGTTAAAAAAAATACAGTAGCCTACCAGGAAGTCATTGATGCTACCTTCATCTTCCTCCTGCTCCGCTGTCGAGATCCACTGGCAGCAGAGCAAAAGATGCTCTGCAGGGAGGGGGGATTCCCCCCTCCCCATTCTCTCCTCCCCTCCCTGTTTCAATGGTCCAGTATGACTTGTTCGGTAATTTTATTGGTCAAATGGTTTTTTTAATCTTTATTTATACAGATAGTCTCATTGAGTAATGAGGTCCCACCCCCCCAAGAAAGACGTGTACTGGGCAACTCTGTGAGCGCCCGGGTGTGATGAAGATAAATGTTTTGGCAGCATGAACTCGTTAGCCTGTCAAAATAAATAATAAAAATGCATAAATTGGCTGCAGCACTGTATAAGCAGCGGTAGTGCTGGGCCATATCATATCGTTCACGATAATACTGGTAAAAAAGTTTGCCTGGGCAAATAAATGATATCATGATATGCTAATTTCATGACGTAATACATCAAGCGCCCCGCCCCATTAACAGAACCGAGCACGCCGAACGACCAAACCGAACTGCGCACCCCCCCCCCCTCCACCTGTCGGTACTGGCGTAAAGCTAATTAGTTGCGCGCAATACTAGCTAGCTAAAAAGCTAAAAACAAACAACATGCGGCACAGCTGTCTCTCCATCCAGCTCTAAATTGCAGGTACAGATGGCTCAACTGTCTCTCCTTCCCCCCACACCCGCTCTGAGCAGCCGGTACAAACACGTGCAGGTCTGTCTCTTAGATCCACAGTCCATGGACCAAGGACAGAGTCAGGTGATCAGAGACAGAGCATCAGAGAAATGAATCATTCCTGCAGGAACAGAGGAAGCTGAAACACCACCAGCTTCAGGGTCAGCTGATCACCTTGTCACAACTTCTGGAAGTTATAGCTCATTTAAAGCAACATATATTTTGTTATATGTTACATTTATGCTCAACAGATCTTAAGCTTCATTTTATTTAGTTATTTTGGGAAACCACCTGCACTTTAGTTTTTGTGGTGGATTTTGTTGATCTATATTTTGTGCAGATGTTTTCAATCTAAATAACACAAGGATCATTTTAATTTTTTTTATTTTTATACTTTGAGACTAAATACTTTACTGAATTGAATAATGAATTACTTTAAAGTAATTTCAGTAAAATTAACCCTTGTTTTTTTAGTTTGTTTGTTTTTATATAATACTGCAAAGCAACATGTTAAGTTAATTTTGTCAAATGAATAACTATGATTTCTGTTTTTTTTTTTTTTTGTTATATCACGAAATGCATCGTTATCGCCAGAATGCTCTGAAATATCACAATATTATATTTGAGCCATATCGCCCACCCCAAAGCTGCGGGGTTCAAAGCCTGTGCAAAAAGTAGTTGCTTATAGTCTGGACATTATGGTAGTTTATTCAGGTTTTGTCATTGAATTTACATAAAAACAAAATCATTGAAATGTGTAAAGTCTGATTTTCATCACGTTTGTGCAGAAACCATCTGACAGAGCTCCTCAAAGGACTAGTTACCATAGTCAGACTGAACACATGCATTATTTTTCAGACGGAACAAAATAAAGTGTGTCAACAGGAAACAAAACTCACTTTTCCAGTCAGGGAGTTGTGCAGCTTCATGAGAGGTCCTCTGGTCTCCTCCGACAGTTTCCCCAGAATCTTTACCCGGACCTAAAGCCACAGATCAGAGACCCTGAAAAGAGGCAGCTCAACAGCAAGAAGAAGCACAGATCATCTCAGCAGGAACATCCAACACAAGAAACACACCTCAGTGCTGATGGTGCCAGGATTCTCCACAGACATCATCAGGTCTGCAGCCAAGAAGTTCACCAAGATGTTGGTCACATCAGTGCACAAGCTTTTCAGAAGGTGCTTGGTGATGTAGACCTGGGTTTCATCTGCTCACACAGGATTTACAAAATCAGTTTTAATTCATGAACCAATGTTAACAATCACTGCAGGTCTGTGTTTGAGCAGGTGCTCATCCAGAGAAAGTCATCTCCCTCCTCAAGAGGACTGAAAGTATGGTCAGATGTTTTACTTTGTTCGGTTTGATGCAAATAAGTAATTATTAGATGACAGCTAGACAGAAACACAAGACTGACCTGAGAAAAACTTGGTGCCTTTTTCAAACAGGCGGATGTTGTTGTACAGGTTTATGATCTCCTCCTGCAGCTCCTTCATGATGTTCTTCTTGCTGTGGCCTGAAGAAGAGCTGCTGGAGGACAGGAATACGGTCCGCAGAACCTCCTGGTAGGCTTTATTCAGAGGTCTGCACAAAAAGCAACAACAGAGGGTGGGACAGATAAAGATCTGTATCAGATCAGGGACCTAGTTCAGACAGAACTCTTAAATTTTACCTGACTAGATGTTCTGCCAGCTCAGAAAGGACTTCTTCAGGGCAGTCATTCAGTCTTTGTTCTAAAGTGGTGACAATCTCCTCCTCTGCCATAAATGGGGCTTCAGTCTGTTTACTGCGACCTTGGCAGAAATAAAACAGTTAGTCTTAATGGGATGATTTGATTACTTTCAGACACAAAAATAGATGTTGGCCAAGCAGCCAACAAACAGATGAAATGGTTCTGTGGTCTACTTTGCTGTGAAGGTCCAGTGTCTTCATCACTGTCCTCCTCCTTCCTGCCCTTCTTCTTGGTTTTACGAATGCGAATCTCTCTGGCGTTTCCTCCCCCTCCTGATTTCACACTGCCGCTGCCCTCTGGGAGACAAAGGTTTAGAGATGATGGAACTGGGTGCAGATCATCTGACAGTCACTGTGCTGTTCACACCCTGGGTCGACACACACCTGTAGCCTTTTTCCTGCGCTCTGCTTCCCTCTTTTCCTTTTTGGAAGGCGCTGAGGTCTCTGTCTGGACAGCCACCTGCTTCAGGTCTTCTTCAGTTATCAGAAAGACAGGATTGTTCTTCACCTCCTAGGAGCACAAAACCACAGGAGCTGGAGGGCCACACAAAAAACTGATCAAATGTCCCCGCCTTTTCATGGTGGGGGGACTAAAAGCTACTAGGACTACCATGCTGTAAATTAGGAACCAGAGTCTGTGTACTAATGACGTGAGGCTATAGGCTCCTGTATACTTGCGCGTCCTGTCAGCCACGCGGAAACTGTGCGCACTGTCCGCAGAGGGTTGTGACTTCAGACTCGAGCGTCCACCCTGAGCGGCTGCAGCCCAGCTCCGCAGGCAACAGGTGTTTACCTTCGGGATAAATTGAGGTTGCCGATTGGTCATTTGCTGACACGCCTACTGGTTTGATTGACAGGTCACCAAAAAAAAAAAAAAAAACGAGAGCTGGCAGCCCCAGTGGTGTTCTGTGTTTATATGTTGTTAATAAAAAGTTCTGAAAAAAAAAAAAAAAAAACAGGGAGCGCTGGCCCTGCAGCCCACACATCAGACCAGCCCACCAGGAAATCTCCAGACCCTACTGTAGCCACGCTGGACCTGATTTTAATTCGCTCGTGACAAATTCCTTCATTTCTCACCATTTCAGTCATGGCATCAACAGAGGAGGAAGAGATTGCCTCTTGGTAAAAAACAAAAGAAAAGACCATTAAACCAGATCAGGGATGAAGAAGAGGAATTTCATACATTGGTGTCGCAAACAAAACAGTCCGTCGTCGGGCAGTTTATAGTGCGACACAGAGTACATGTACGCAGTAGTAAAAATTAATCTTTACACGGACATGACCTGCGGGCATCTGCATCGACTCTAATCCGGTACGCACAGACCTCCGTGGAATGACGTAAGCCTGAGTATACTGGAGGCTCAAGTCCCACCTACTGCCCCTCATCCAGTCATCATGTGAACTAAAGTGAGTGTTTAAAACTGGAACAAGAGTCAAAATATGGAAAAAAAAAGTGACACTGTGTGTGTGTGTGTGTAGATAGACACACACAGAGTGAGTTAACATTTGAAAAGGACACAGACGCTGGTGAAGACTCTCAGTCATCCAGGTCATAGTAAATCCCCCCCAACAACATTAAAAAAATGAAACAACTGGACTTCTAAGTACTTTAAAGCACATATCGAGGCCTCTCAAGCAGCTCTATAAAGTTGGAACGCCACACACCAGACATTTTTGAATTGATAAAGCCTCCTGGATGGGAACAGAACAGCTTCAAAGCGGAAGTCCTGTTGTTTTGTTTTTCATCGGTTCAGATTAAATTTGACACATAAATGATTGAAGCCTTACCTTTTGAGCTTTCTGCTGCATGGTCTCATCAAACAAGGACACACAGTTGCTGATGAACTTCTCACTGACAACGACAGATCCTCCCAGCACTCTGGCAGAGGACTGGATGTTTGTGTTCCTCATAGCCTGGCTGATGAGCATCCCAACGTCCTCCATGGAGAGGCAGCTGGGCAGAACCGGCTAAAAACAAGAATGGTGAGAACCAGAAACAGCTCGTTTTAGCTTCAAATAGAGCACATGTGAGACTGTAACTGGAATCACCTGGAGGTCAGTCCACGTGGCAGAGTTAACAGCTTCTTCCACAGAGGCCTCCACCTGGTCCACCAGAGCCTGACCCACACAGGCTCCTCGGAGAAATAGCAGCTTATTGGATCTGTAGCGCTTCTTGATGTAGCTGGAAGGGTCAGGGATCCCAAGCCTGAGTAACGCATCAAACTCTGAAGGAGGAAGAGGATTCTGGTTTCACTCAGAGCTATGAGCGTGGCCTTTCAAACTACTGACCACCAGGTCAGATCAGAACATCCCGGCACAACAAGAGCAAAGTCTTCAAGTATTCTCCTCAAAGCACACACATCAAATAAAATATTCATAAGGAAGCTCTGCAGTCGAACACAGAATCAGGGTGAGACTGAAGTCTGCCAAGAACTCAGAGATGAACATGGTCTGACAGAACGAGCTAAGGGATCCACACAGAACCAGGCTGGGCCTAAACAAACACAAGAACTGCACAAGAACTTGAAACAAACCAAAGAAGCATCCATGTTGTTTTTGAAAGAGGTGGTTTTGGAGATGGGAGAATGAAAGATTGGTCAATGTTTTCCCCCTCTATTTTAATTATTTATAAAGCACCAAGTCACAACAGAAGTTGTGTCAGGGCACTGAACTGAAACATTCACATGCATGAGCAAAAAGTAAAAGTTCTCTATCTAAGGAAGCAGCAGACTGAATTGAATCTTCTTTTTGTCAGTCCCCCACCCTCAACAAGCACATGGGCAGTGCAAAGGACAAACTCCCTTTTAACAGGAAGAAACCTCGAGCAGAAGCAGGCTCAGGACGAGCGATCACCTGCTTCGACCGGCTGGTTGAGAGGAACAGACACAGAATCACAGGTCCAGATGTAGTTTCTATAGGAAGAAAGACAAAAAAAATCAACACGAGGATAGAAATAATTACAAATACAAACAGGTAGAGGAGAGTTGGTTCCACAAGAGAGGAGCCTGATAACGGAAAGATCTGCCTCCCACTCTGGTTTTGGAAACTCTAGGATCCAGAAGTAAACCGAGAGTGAAGTGCTCCGTTAGGAAATTATGGATTAATAGGATCTGTAATATAAGATGGAGCCAGGTTGCTAAGAGGTTAGAAGTAAGATTTTTAAATCAGTTCTGGATTTGACAGGGAGCCAATGGAGAGAAGCTAAAACTGGAGATATATGATTATATACGCTGTTCACAAAATTAAAGGGAACACTAAAATAACATCCTAGACCTCAATTAATTAAATATTCTCATTGACAAACTTTATTATTAGCCCAGTGGAATTGATTGAGAAGAAAATAAAAATTATCCATGTACATCAAAATTATTACTCCATGGAGATCTGGATTTGGATTCATACTCAATATGAAAGTAGAAAATAACATGACAGGCTGATTCAACACGAGTGAATCTTCCTCAAGACAAGTCTAAATGAGGCTCAGTGTGTGTGTGGCCTCCATGTGCCTGTAGAACCTCCCAACAACGCCTGGGCATGCTCCTGATGAGACGGCAGATGTTCTCCTGAGGGATCTCTTCCCAGACCTCGATTAGAGCATCAGTTAGCTCTGAACAGTCTGTGGTGTGATGTGGTCTTGGTGGATTGACCGAAACATGATGTCCCAGATGTGCTCAATTGGATTCAGGTCTGGGGAACGGGCAGACCAGTCCATAACATCAATGCCCTCATCATGCAGGAACTGCTGACACACTTCACACATGAGGCCTAGCATTGTCATGCATAAGAAGGAACCCAGGACCCACTGCACCAGCATATGGTCTCATAATGGGTCCGAGGATCTCATCCCAGTACGTTATGGCAGCCAGGGCACCTCTGGCTAGCCCATGGAGGGCTGTGAGGCCATCCAAAGAAATGCCTCCCCACACCACGACTGGCCCACCACCAAACCAGTCATGCTGGAGGATGTTGCAGGCAGCATAACCTTCTCCACGGTGTCTCCAGACTCTGTCACGTCTGTCACATGTGCTCAGTATGAACCTGCTTTCATACTTATTTGCAGCAGTAACACAAATAAATTATATAAAAATCATACATTGTGATTTCTGGATTTTTTTATTTTTTTTAGAATAAAAACACCAAAGATGAAAATTTCAGACCCCTACAGGATTTCTAAGCGGGAGAACTTGCAAAGTCGCAGGGTGTTCAAATACTTATTTTCCTCATTGTAAGAATATAAGATATTTGCTTAACAACAATAACGTAAAATAATACAGTGCATCAAACAGCAGCCTGAACATGAATCTGTTCTGAGCTGCGGTGTAGATGTCTGTGATGGTGGGGAGACTGACTCCAACATCTTCTGTGCAGCCTTCACCACTCTCTGCAGAGCTTTTCTTTCTGCAGCTGTGCAGCCTCCATGCCACACATTGATGCTGGAGCACAGGATGCTCTCCACTGCACACCTGTAGAAGGAGGTGAGGACTGAGCTTCCAGACCAGCTCGCCTCAGCCGTCTGAGGAAGTAGAGTCTCTGATGAGCTTTCTTGATCAGGCTGGTGGTGTTGTTGCTCCAGCTGAGGTTGTTGTTCAGGTGTACTCCCAAGTACTTGTAGCTGGAGACCACTTCCACCTCAGATCCTCTTATGTTCAGGGGGGTAAGTGCGTTTGTTTCTTCTTTAGTCCATGACCATCTCCTTCATCTTCTTCACATTGATGTGAAGGTTGTTCTTCCTGCACCAGCTCTCCAGGTGTTCCACCTCCTGCCTGTAGCTGGACTCATCGTTGTTTGTGATGCATCCTACCACCGCTGCATCATTTGCTGTATTTGTCCGTTTGGGTTTTGTGTTTGGGTTCTGTTTATTGCATTTATGATTCAATGCAACAAAATAAACTAATTTAAAAGGCAACAGATCATTGTAAAACATGGTTTATTTACATAATGACTTTAATTGCTGGATGTCCGGCCCCTGAGCTGCTGGCTTTCAGTAACTGGTTGCTGAGCGGTTTAGTTGAATTGCCCTGATTTAGAAGTTCACGCAACTGACCTGCAACTATTTTCTCAAGAATTTCTTAGATGAAAGTTAGATTAGATATAGATTCTATAAATGGACAGAATTTCTGAATCAAGGTCAGACTTCTTAAGTAAAGGTTTAATTACAGCAACCTTAAAGTGCTGTGGCATGTAACCATTCATTAAAAACAAATTAAGCAGGTCCAAAATGTGGACATTAATTAGGGGAAAAGCCTCTTTAAGCTCCTAGGACCTGACATCCACATATGCAAGAGTTTTGGTCTTAGGAGGTTGAACAGTCTGGATGGGATGGGATCTAGCAGACATGTGGATGGTTTAGATGAAGCTATTATTTTTGACAATTCAAAGAGTTCAACAGGACAAAAACAGTGTAAACCTAAATCAGGTACAGCTGCAGAGATACATGGGTCATAGGACTTTTCATTAGTCTAGCTATAGTGCTGAACAGAAAGATGAGGTTATTTATATTCTCGTCTATTAAAGATGAATAATATAGTTCTAGCTTTAAGGCTTAAGCTTTTCTAGCTTTCTTTTTGTCTTCCTCTCCAAATTAAATAAAAATCTTCAATGTTGGTGGACAATTTCTTTCCAGCTTTCTAGATGCCTTTTTTAAACTACATAACTCAGAATTGAACCAAGGAGCCAGCTTCCTCTGATTGAGCACTTTCTTTTTCAGCTGAGCAATTTTTTGAAGGAAATGAGACAAGAACAGTGTATTGCAGAGGTGGATTGTGGGTATTTGAGTGTAGCTAGTACTTAGGAGAGAGTGGAGGGAATAACATACAGGTTAGTTCACCACAGCTGTAGTGAGAATGCTCACATCAGTCTGACCTAGATATCCATTCTGCTGGAGGAAGGAGTCCACCCAGGCATTCTGAGTTCTGGCGTAAATATCAGGGATATAAACGGCTTTGTCCTGTCTTCCTCCAACCACACTTCCTCTCAGACGGCCGCTGTTCACCAACTCCTCCAGGACAGCTGGGAAAGTGGATGACATAATCAAACACTGTGACGTGTTGTCCACCGCTGACTAAACACAGAACCAGGAGTCTGCTTACAGTACAGAAGGTGCTCCTGAAATCCAAAGGCTCCGATCACACTGCTGATGGGCGTAGGCCTGCAAAACAAACGTTAACGGCAGGAAATTAAAACTTAAACACAAAGTAGAGCTCTCACATTCTGTGAAGAAATGCACATAGCCACAGCCTTCCATCACCTGTCCAAGATGTCAGCATCTGCAGCACATGTCCACGCAAAGATCACAACCAGGTCATGCAAACATCACAAACATGTCACAAAG